ATAATATTTATCATATATTATAATATTTATCATATATTATAATACTTTTTATAAAAAGTATACTTTTTAGTATACTTGAGTATAATATAATATGATACTTGATATATTTAATATAGTATAATATATTTAATTAATATAATGCTTAAGTATATTTAAAGCATAAAAAATACTTTGTATAAAAAGTATTATAAATAAAGAAAGTAATTCTTATGTTACTTTATCTTGAGCTTGCCAGATAAATAAAAAAAATTCTTGTATTTAGACAAATTTGGACAGTCAATTACAATATTTTTGTTCTTCGCTTGAAAATGGAAGTATATATGTTTTAATTTGACGCAAAATATCGTTTATATATTTATGTTACATTACTCAGACATTGCTGTGATTTGGTTGATACGATAAAAATCTGAAAAAAAACAGTGCAACACGCTTTGTTCAAACTTTCGTTCCAGGAAAACGTTTGCCTTTCGTGTTGGCATTCAACGATCATAGTTCTCCTTGGTGCCCAGAGGCATCGTCACTCCTCGGCCGTTATTTTGTGTGCCTTGAGTTTTTTGTTTCCGTTGTTTGGGTCGAACAGCGCGTCCTAGGCAATCTGTCGCAGTTATATAAACGGATTTAAAAGGACAGCACGTGTACATACTCTGGATAAAATATTATATATATCATTATTTAACTGGATACGCGGTATTGCTTATTTGCTTTTTTCCATCAGTTCGAACCAATCGCAAGATAATACAATTTAATGATATTTAGCAGTAAATATAATAAGTATAATAAGTATAATAAATATAATAAATATAATAAATATAATAATACAACTGACGTACATTGCTTCACAGCAATGTGAAAACTGCATTTATTTCAACGCCGTACGATTTATATTTAAATAGATACCACAATATCTAAAAATGTCTAAAAGTGTCTAAACTATAATAAATATAATAATACTGTCAAAACTGAATTTATTTCAACGCCGTACGATTTATATTTAAATAGATACCACAATATCTAAAAATGTCTAAAAGTGTCTAAACTATAATAAATATAATAATACTGTCAAAACTGAATTTATTTCAACGCCGTACGATTTATATTTAAATAGATACCACAATATCTAAAAATGTCTAAAAGTGTCTAAACTATAATAAATATAATAATACTGTCAAAACTGAATTTATTTCAACGTCGTACCATTTATATTTAAACAGATACCTCAGTGTCTAAAAATGTCTAAAAATGTCTAAAAGTGTCTAAAAATTCGTATGAAATCAGGAACTGCGAATAAAAAAAATCGCAAGAGCCAGTCATGTCACGGAATTAAGCGGCGGTGACGTGACGACCGCGCGGCGAAACTAGTTCGCGTCGCGCGAAGGGTTGGAAGTGGCTCCGTTTTCACCTCTGCGCCGGATGAATAGACGCGGATAAAGGGCTGTCCCGGAGTGGAGAGGGGGATGATCTGACGTGCCCGCGCCGCAGCCACCTCTCTCCTGTGTGGCTCGGCTGACGTTCAACCCCCGGCGAGCAGAGGACGAACCAGCACCCTCCGCGAGGACCGCCCTTTTACGAGGGTAGGGGATCAGCCAGCCAATCAACCGACTCGATGGTGTTGCTTGAAACCGATCAGGAGCCGGGCTTACCATCAAGAAGTCCTAGCCACGCGATGACTGTCAGTTACATTCCGCCGCGAAGTTAGGGCTCGTTCCTAGGATCCGGAGGCAAGAGCCGGAAGGCAGGAGCCAGGAAGCAAAAGACCCTTCGAGCAGTCCTTCCCGGTCACGAGACGAGGAAGTCCTCGCTCTCGTCGCGTGACAGTCCGCCGTCTCGCGGCGTCGTCGTCTTCGTCGTCGTCGTCACTCGTGGAACTGTTTTACTTCTGTGATCGCGACGCGTTTTCAGCGAAAGTTCGTCGGCTGCCAACAGCCGCGGACTCGTCTCTCGATCTCTTCGCGGTGATAGTGTGTTGTGCAGTGAAGATGCAGAACCCGGACCAGCAGATCGGCCACATGCCTGTGCCGCAGCCGAAAATGCCTGCCTCTTCCAGTAAGTCTTTTATGGTGAAACCATGCCTCAACCTTCTTATCTTTCGTCGCCGCGGTGCGCTGCCCTCGCAGACGCTTTCTACGAGACGAACCGAAAGTCTCGTTTCTAAGACAGATAACGTCGCGTCGAATTCAAAATGGAGTACGATAAACTGACAACTGACGGATCGAACAACGACGCGAGAGTACGTTAAAATCGGATGCTCGTCGAACCGCGCTTTCGTTAACCTTTTAGGTACGGCTGAATTCTGCACGAGGTTATTTCTTTGGACGGCAGAGTCTGATGTGTACTGTACAGAGTCTGACACTGTATATACAGGGTGTCCCAAAAATGTCTCGCAATCCGGAAATGGCGGATTCCTCGGATCATTTGAAGCAATTTCTTCCTTTACAAAAATTGTCTCCGAGGCACCGTTAACGAGTTATTAACGAAAAACAGTGACCAATAAGAATCGAGTACGGCTGACGCGAGGCCAGCCAGCGCACGAAGCCCAGTTCCGCTCAATGGCTCGATCGCCTCGTGCCAGCCGAGCTCGCCTGTAGACTGTTGTAAATCGATGTGAAGACAAAAGAAGTGTGAAACAATGCATATGAAGACGATTATTTGGTTCAAACGATGAGTGAGTGAGCTACTAGACAAAGCCACTATAGTGGCGTGTCGTTCTGAAAGATGACATCTGCGGAAGCCACTATGGTGGCGCGTTGTGCCTAAAAGGTTAAAATCGGATGCTCGTCGAACCGCTTTCGTTAATAATAATATAAATAATATTATAGTATATAATATTATTTACTATAGTATATTATATACTATATATTATATACTATAATATTATAATAAGTATTAGTAATACTATAATTAGTAATATTATAATAATATTAATAATAATATAAAATAATATTATAATAATATTAATAGTAATATAAAATAATAGCGTTCGATCGTGTGCGAGTCCACAGCTCCGCGCGTTGAATGAAACTCGCATGCTTCTACTTGCAGCCCCCTTCCCCCGCCATTTCCGACATGCGACCGATTAATTATTTCGTTCCGAATAAAAACGTCTCCGACGAGCACGTGGCGCTGCTACGAATGCGTTTGAAGAAGAATCAATTTTGTCTTTCCGTTGTATCTCACAGTTGCTCAAGGCTATTAATGATTCAAAGAGAAAGAGAGAGGGAAAGAAGAGAGAGAGAGAGAGAGAGAGAGAGAGAGAGGAGAGAGAGAGAGAAAACATTGCATTACACACTCTTGCAGATTAAAGTAATACTTTAATTTTCTTCGAAAGGTGTGCGGTAGAATTGACAAAAAAGGAATAGAAAAGTATTTACATTACCGGCGTCATTCTCGAATAAAGGGTAGCCACCCTTGTCCGGGGACAATAAAATGGAAACCTCGTTTACAATACTCGTTAGCTCTGTGACCACAGTTATAAAAGTGGTTATTTTCGTTGCCGTTATAGAACCTGGTATCTCGAATGACAGCGGTTTCTAATTACACGACCTACAGCAGTACCTGAAAGGATTGTTAAACGAACGTACGAGAGAGACGTTCCGACCACCTTTTTTACCATTTCGATGCAGGAAGGGCTTCGCAGGTGATGGAACGTCAATTCGTGAAAATTTGCGCTCGAATCCTTCGCGCTCGTAAAAACGGACACCTTTCGAGTCATTGATGGAAGGTCGACGGTCTTTTAATCCGTAGGGATGCGGAGGATTAAATCCTTTGCTTTCCCTCGGACGATGCAGTTTGACTTCTCTGATGCAGCGAGCTGCCCGAACTGTTGCCAGCGGTCTGCGAAATTGCACCGGACGTTGGAAATTCTTGAAGCGAAATTTACCGATGCAGTAACGTCTTTCACAGAAATGTTCGGGCATTGGAATCGAAACCGGCGGATTTCAGAATAGTTCGTCGCTATTTTTTAGGCCTCGCGGCTCGTTTTTATTAGACACTCGACGCAGTCGGCAGAAAAATGCAGCGACCAGCAGGCCGGTGAACTAATACGAATGCGTAGTAATGCTAGAATATAGAAACGATGACTTAACTTTCTTATTTCTAATGTTTTTTTTTCCAATTTCTAATTCGACGACAATTCGGAGGCCGAACAGATCATTTTGTGTTGTGCAACGCGTGAAATGAGGCGACAGATCGTGGAAGGGTGCCTGTAGCAATTAGTATGAACTAAACTTGGGCGCAATAATGTTCCATCACGGCGAGGATCTTCGATTGTCTCTGTTATTACTTTTGATTTTCAAGCGGATCTGTTATCGAGATATCTATCATCGAAATAAAGGTTTCAAAAGTATCGGGTGGAATATATATTAATAAATATATAATTATTATTATTATAATATTTTTTATCGAGCTGTCTGTCATCGAAATAAAGGTTTCAGAAGTATCAAGTACTATATATTAATAAATATATATTTATTATTATTATAATATTTTTTATGGAGCTGTCTGTCATCGAAATAAAGGTTTCAGAGAAGTATCAAGAGTACTATATATTAATAAATATATATCTATTATTATTATAATATTTTTTAAATATTTGTAATATTTGTATAAAAGATATTTATACACACACACAATATATTAATATTTACAAATACTTATTGTGATTATAATATTTAAAAGAATGGCGGGGGGGGCGGTGCTGGGGGAACGGAATGATTTCGACTATGATTTTCGCGACGACAGAACACATTGTTTTCCGTTCGCGATATCATTTGTATCGAAAACCGGGGCGCTCTGCTAATTGGCACGTTAATGGAAGGGTGCGCCTCGTCGCGCATCTCGTCTCGTGTGAAACAAATAGCATATGCGACATTTAAACGGGGTAGAAAGGCTAGCGCATTTAAATGATTCCTCCCTCGTGGCATTCGTCCATGAGAAAATAACAACAGATGGCCGGAACAGAACACGGTAACTACGAATCTCCATGGCGCACTAACAGGTTGTCGCGGGTGGTTGAATTTCGGGTCGTTCGTCGAGAAATCAACGCCCCCGATTCTCGTCCCGTTCGGCTAATTCGGGGATTGTTTCGGAAAGGTAACATGCTGTGGCCCACATAAGTGTTCGTACACCTGTCAACACGCGATAACTGTTTTAAAACTGGGTTAAATGGCTTATATATGTTCTATATGTTCTATATATTCTATATATTCTATATGTTCTATATGTTCTATATATTCTATATATTCTATATATTCTATATATTCTATATATTTTACATATTCTATATATCCTGTATTTCTTATATATTATATATATTATATGTATATTCTGTATATTCTAATTATTCTATATATTTATTTATTTTGAATATTCTAATTATTCTATATATTTAGTTATTCTGAATATTCTAATTATTCTATATATTTATTTATTTTGAATATTCTAATTATTCTATATATTTAGTTATTCTGAATATTCTAATTATTCTATATATTTATTTATTTTGAATATTCTAATTATTCTATATATTTAGTTATTCTGAATATTCTAATTATTCTATATATTTATTTATTTTGAATATTCTAATTATTCTATATATTTAGTTATTCTGAATATTCTAATTATTCTATATATTTATTTATTTTGAATATTCTAATTATTCTATATATTTAGTTATTCTGAATATTCTAATTATTCTATATATTTATTTATTTTGAATATTCTAATTATTCTATATATTTAGTTATTCTGAATATTCTAATTATTCTATATATTTATTTATTTTGAATATTCTAATTATTCTATATATTTAGTTATTCTGAATNTTCAATATATATTTATTTATTCTGAATATTCTAATTATTCTATATATATTTATTTACTCTGAATATTCTAATTATTCAATATATATATTTATTCTGAATGTTCTAATTATTCTATATATTTATTTATTCTGAATGTTCTAATTGTTCTATATATTTATTTATTCTGAATGTACTAATTATTCTATATATTTATTTATTCTGAATGTTCTAATTGTTCTATATATTTATTTACTCTAGCAAGCATTTTAACCGAAATCGCAGGAGAAGTATTTTTATTGTAAAATGTAATATTGCCATTTCGTTACGACGAGTATACACATTGTTGTTAACAGCCGAGAGGCTAAAGTAGAAACTTCAATAAGTATTATCGAATTCTGTCGAATTTTCTCAGAACCTAGGACAATAAAAAATTAAGCCTGGGCTTGAAAGACCCGGGTTGCCGGCCGCATAGGCACACAAAAGCCCCTTACAGGCAAATTGATTACTTGCTACTGATTCACTTGTCTACCGACTATGGTCTAAAACCTATAACCAAAATCACTAAATAATAACAATAAAACTATAAAACTGCGTTGATCGAATATAAAATTAACTTTCGAAATTCTAACGTTGAATATAATTCGAATTTAATCTTACTAATCGAGTCGCCTTAAAATCTGTTGAAATAAATTTAAATTAAAAGCGATCCGCCTATAAACCATGAATTTTGACGACGCTACGCCTTTAGAAACGACCAATACGTGTGCATAAAATTTCAAAATCACAACCTTAAATTTACGATGCTATTTTAACCAATCAAATAAATCATCAACGGTAAAACAGTGTTGATCGAATAAAAAATTGTCTAAGTTTCAGAATTCGAACGTTAAATTTCATTCAAATTTAATTCCACTGATCGAACCTCCTTAAAATTCGTAACCTCGTCTGTGTAACTAATTTTGGTAACCTTTGTCTGTGTAAAAAATTTTTGTTACTTATTACAAGCGCCACTAACTTTGCCAACGTAAGGGTTGAAGAACTTTTAGGCTTCGTAAAGAATCGCAGAGAAGCCTCCGGTTATTTTCGATTAATTTCGTGCTGCGTTCGCGTGCGATTATCGAGTGCATCGTAATAATAGAACGCGATCTACGAGCGAACAGCGGGGGTAAGAAGAGAGTGGGGAGGGCCGGACGGGTGGTGGAAAGGTAAAAAAGCAGATAGAGAAGAATCGCGCGCATCTCTCGC